GTTCGGTGTACCTCAACAAGTCCTTGCATTGAGGGATAAATACGTTGGAGAGCACCGGGAAGGATTAAGTTTGGCTCCAAAAATGCTAGAGCTTGCAGCGTGGACAATGAATAGCTCATGGCTGTTCCGCTTTTGGCATAGATGCCCATGAAAATGACTTCTCGTAGGCAGAGGACAAATCGTTTTCGCAGTGGTTCATTTAGCTTTCGCTCTTCTGAGACTTCCACTTCCCCATTGCGTTCCGTGTTCCACCGCATGACAAAGAAATCTGCCAGATGGAACACAAGTTGAGCCAGGGTGTGAGTCCAATCGCCGGAGTTTGACGGGTGGAAGAAAGTCTCAATTGCCTGGATCAGTGTCTCGAGGAGTGAAAGAACCGAGGTCTTTTTTCCCAAACAGGCTGGTGATAACGACATCACAAACCACAGAGCGATGTGGCGTGAAACGGGGGTTTCGTGCGGATCAAGACCCAGTAGAAACACCGTGTCGGCTGTTATGTCCACCAGAGCGCTGTAAGGCGAGGTGGATTGCCCGACAGGGATCTCTAGCAACCTCAAAACTGCGGTTGTAATCAATGTGGACTGCTCCGCGGTGAATATCCCGAACTCGGAGAATCCGACCTGTTTACTAGGCAGTGAATCCCGGGCCAGGCGAGAGAGAAGATCGACAAGGGCGACATCGACGGTTCGGGAGCGGTTTACCAGGGACCAGAGGTGGAAGAAGGTTGGAAGAAAATGTTGGGGATTCAAATCCGAACGACTTGGCGGTGGAGGTCCTGTTGGCAGCAGCATATTGAGCAGTCCAATCACCACAAAGGCGCCCTCGGTCGAGGACATGGTGAAGTGAGGGAGGATTTCCTCTAGCATAGCAGGGATGTCCTCTGGGTCAAAATATAGTTGGGCGAAGGAACCGATCCCAATGAGTGTCTCGATATTCCTCTTGAGGTTTGTTGTCTGCATCAAGCCCGACTCCCTTGGCAGCACGAATACTTTGATCTCTCGGAAGAGCGGTCGCCAGTCGAGGGTTAGGTCAAGGGAAGGTCGCAAGTAGTGTTTTCGTCTGCAGAGATGTCAGTGACGAGAGTCCTTCGGAGGCGTGGCTTGGGAGACAACAGACTTGGTAAGTAGCATGAACATGCTAGCGAAGTGTTCGCCCACACCGGGATCGATCCCAGGGGCCAGAGCCAGTTCATAATAGAGTCTGACGAGCTTTACACGCTGATCCTTGCTGGGATCGAACTTCAAGGAGAGCCAGC